CTAAATGCTTATTATCCTTCAGTTGGAAAGAGAAAAGGCCATTAACAAACAGCTTCAGGCAATGCAAATATGGTCCTTCGATACCTCAAGCTTAATATTTCTGCAAAACAAAAAGAAATAAAGAAAATCCCTGTAAAAATTCCTTGTGGAATATCTTCTAGGACCTTTGCCAATAAAGTTCAAAAAATAAAAGTTAATTGTAAACATACAAATAGTAATGAGGCAAAATAAATTTACAAGATTAACTTACATGAATATTTTTCATATAGCAGATTGGAGATGAGAGATACTTATTTTTTTCTGATCTGAACAATATCTGCACCAAGCTTGCCTGTTCTGTGTGAAATAACATCAGTAACAAGTCAGGTTAAAAACCATGGAAACTACATTAGTGCTAGACTGTGCCTCATACAAAACATGCCACCATGTCTTGTTTCTAAGACAGGCATGGCTGTAGCCACTGGCAGCATGTAGACAGTAGTCAGTAGTGGCTATTGTCCCCATCACATGCACTACATTTCCATAAATCAGAATATGCTGGGTTAGTTGAGCCTTGTGAAAAGATTATTGAGCTTGTGATTTAAAAAGTTATGAGACATTTTTCTCAAAAGTATGCAAAACCCTTTTTCCAAAATATTCCGTCATTGTCATGCCTACCATTTGTGTATATATTCCAGCATTTTCAGTAGACTAAAGGTGAAAATTTAGCTATCAGTCTTTGAGTTGTTCTGATTAAGCTGATCCAGTCCTGCAATATGAAGTCAGCTGGAGTGCTGTATTATGGATGTGGGCACAAGTCATTGCTTTTCAAGCAGTTAAATGTTTTGAGTAGCTCAGCTTTTGAAGGTGTTATTTAAAACATTAGAATTTCCATAGTTTTGAATATCCCCATTTTCCTTGAAAAAATGTTATGTTTGCAGATTTTTCTAGTTATTCCAAAACCTTTCAGATTATTTCTGCCTGATTCACTAGAATTTTCCATCTTATAATTTCACTACAGTATTGAAAATATAAGAAGTTTTAATCTGACTATTTCTTGAGAAGGGAACAATAAAATACACATACTGTAAAAGTCTCAAGATAATGTAAATCACTACCTTAGCTGGGAATAAAACACCTAGGACTTGGAAGGCATCTTCTGATTTACACTCGAATATCTGACCCATACTTAATACCAAAACGCTGTACTGGAATCTGGAAAAATAAGTGAGAGACAACATTTGTCTGGCTGACAAAACCATGTTTCTTTAGAAAAGGTCTTTAATTCAAGTTCAGCTAGCTTTGCACATTTCCACTAACCCATGGAAGACATTTGAAACCTAAGTATGATGTGAAAGTTGAAAAAGTAATCCTAAAATAGATTAGATTTATTGCAGAGGTGGGAAATGAGCAGTGCTGCGTGCTAAGGGAGGTATTTGTTTGACTCTGTTTTGTGTTAAGATGCTACCTTGAACTTGCAGATTGAGCAGAAACAATACTGAGTGTTAGAAATATACCATTTTGATGAATGCCTTCTACTGGAAACGAGCCAGTTGTATTTGCTTTCTTTGTAGTCAGCATCTCAAGACTCAGCATGAACTCTACCGTGGCAAACTGGGAGTAAGTTATTTCTAGTCTGTAATGAGTATTTCTACCCCATTATTATTGAAAATAACAGGTCTCAAATGTGGATGGTATACCCTTTTTCACCAAAGTACCCTTTTTCACCAAAGTACAGTTTTTTTAACATTAGACTGAGCATGAACACCCCTCCAGCACTACTTCGAGTATAAAGGACTGAAGATAAAATTGTCTCTATAACTACAAGAAAAACTCTCTGTATGTGTGCATACAATTTACAACTGGTGTTTTGAAAGAAGGAGGACAAAATTTTCCAATGCATAATCAAAGTAAGTTTTACAGAGATTAAATTATCTGAAAATTTAGTCAAGTAAAATGAATAATTGTATGCAACAAAAAATTTAGAAGAAAAAGGAAACATATAATGAAAATGTGAAAATGTAAAAATATAAAACTTGAATTTAATTATGTTTAATTGCCCAAAATAAAATGAAAAAGGAAAGAGCAAAAAATATCTATGAATTTATGAAAATAGGTTGCATGTGAGTTTAGATAAAACATTTTGGATTTACACAGTTTCTTTTTCACTCTCACCCAGTGTTCTGTTTTCCTCTTTCCCTTTGATTTACTATCCTTCCCTCTCCTCCTTTTTATATGTGATTTATCATTCCATATTCTTAAATTTTTCCTGTAAAGAAAATTATTCTTTTAAAATAAGCATTGTTTACCAGTTAGTATGAACATTGTCACTATTATTTTGCAACTGGTTTAACACTAATTAAAACAAAAATGAAACAGTGATAAAGGAGGAGCTATTTGATTGTATGGTTCCTGAATTTGGATATTGCATAGCCAGGTTAGTTGACTGAACTTCCATAGTTTATAAAGTGAGATTTAGATTCCAGCCTGTACCTCTGTGGCAGGTGTTTCACACTGGGGTGAATTTCCTCCTGAAAGGGACTGTTTCTCTCTGTGGGAAGTGTGTTAGCAATGTCCTCAGTGGCAGTGTTTTCTTACAGTACTAAGGCTCTCAGAATTTTATCTGATTATGATCTGTAGCATGGCAACCTGAAAACCTTGGGCAAGCACCCTAGCTCTCAGACAACGTGTTCCCAGGCTAAGCCTGTCTCAGAGTTAGAGCCTCTGATTGGAAAAGGGCAAGCAGGTGCAGCAATGAACTGTATAATGTAGATTTAAGGGCCTCCGTGCCAATTTTTTGCTCTCCTGATCTGTTCCTATCACATTGAATTACTTGCCAATGCAAGCACAAAATAAGATAATCATATAATTCCACATATAAACCTCAACAGCTTTGTCTGGTTGTCTTTATAAAATTGGCATAATTATTAAACCAACTAATCCTCAAATATGCTTGACTTTAAATTTGTATCAATTATGAGAATAAAAGTGTTTCAATCATTTATTAAAAAAAACATCCTGAAGGACAGGAACTGTGGATACCATTTGCGGTGGGGTCTTAAGAACTGTACGTTGAAGAAAGAGGGTGCTACTGTTTGTTAGAAGCATTTAAATCAAATGTATGCATGTAATTTAAGGCTTCACAAGTACTGCTCAAAGTAAAAAAAGGAGAATTACACTATGACTCATTTTTCAGTGGAATATCATAAAAAAAAAACAGGGAGTGGAGAGCTCTGTTTCTCAATTCACAAGGTAAAAAAGTTTTCCCAGCAATTTTAATGTATTTTGAGATATATTTTGTTAGTTTGTGCTTTATCTAACATCTAACTACTAGAGACAACCAACCATATTCCCCTTTATTAAAACCACCACAAAATATTATTTTTGACATCAAGATTCTAAAACCAAGGAAGGATTACTTTTTAAAAGTTTTAGAGATCAATAAAGAACTTACTGAGTTGTGAGAGCAGAGAAACAGAAATATTCACCAAGATTAATTACTATTCTTTCTCTCTAGTAGATGATTAGAGATCAGAGCAGGTAAAGACTACCGTTGAAAATCCCAGTACAGACTAGCAGTGATAGCTAAAGACAGATGAACACAGTAGCATATCAAATTTTGAAACTGGAGCATCACAGCAGGTTTTTGTCTTCAGCAAGCTTGACAATTTATTTCAGACCCTTGCTTGCAAAGTTAAGATGTCAGAAAAGAAATCCAGTTTGGGGAAGCTTGTCAATGGGAGAGAAGGTTTTTTCTCTCTCCAAAGATATGCCTGCAGATCTTTCAAGGTCTTGAGGGCTACTTTTTCTTCCTACAAATCTTCAGAAGTCAACACTGAGTGAAGAGAGACCAATACTTTTCATTTGCAGCTCTCCTGACACATCATTTGTTGCTATACCATGCCATCCTTCTAAATTGCATTCTGTAACTCACTATGGTTTGACTGTGACATGAGATCACAGAAAACAGAAGCATCCATGAGGGATCAAGATGAACTATGAGGTGAAGAGTAAGACTTGAAAATGAATGTCTCCTCTGAACTTTACTTCTTTGTTATGTTTTATTCCTCTCCATTAATGTCCTCTGCCTTCAAGAGAAATATGTACCATCTGCTTTTTTTGAGTCCCTGTCATACTGCAATAATTCCTTGATTCATTGCATGATTCACAGTGTCCTTTCAGTTTGGAGCACATATAAAACCTTTAGAAGGAGAGGATTTGGAGATTATCTAGAAAGCTATTTTAGTGTCTTTAAGATACTTGTCTAAAGCTTTGAAAGAGACTCACATTAATGCCAGTTTAAGAGAGAAATTTTAGAGATTCACTCCTTGGAACAATAAAAGGAGTGTTTGTGTCATAGGAAACTCTCCTATCACTTGAACATGTTTGTTATACATGAGTGTAGGGCATGTAAATTCTCTGTACTGGAATCATACATTTCATTGCTTTTCTCAAGCAGATACAGTACTGAGCTAAGCAGTCTGAGTCTTAAAGGAGCAACAAATCATTGAGTAGCCTGTATGTTTTGTGAATTTATTTTTTGTGTTACGTCAGCGTTTCAGTCTTTCACTTTTCAGTACTACACTAATTTTTAAGAACTAAATGCAAGCTACAGACCTGACCTCTGTGGAGCTAAGGGAGCTAATTCACAGCAGAATTTGGATGTAATAATGGTTGTATTCCAAATAAACAGTTTTGGAAACATGCTATCTGTGTTTCATATGCGCCACAGGACTTGTTTGGCTTGAGGAATCCATAACTTCCTACAATTTGCAAGATATGCAGTTTCCTGAATACATGGGAAACTACTTGTTTAATTCCAATACTTCAGGCAACTACTTGTTTAATTCCAAATATGAACATTAGATTGGGTATTTTCAAAGTCATTTTCTCCCCATCATGTGCCACTTCTTCTACCTGCCAACATTTCATCAACACGTTTTCAATAGGAAATTCATTTCATACTTGCTGCTGGAATTTATTCTAACAGCTGAATGGCCTGAACATGTTCAACATTATAGGTCAGAAGGTGCCACGGTGTAGAGCTGAGATAAGGGAAAAAAGAAGACCTCCAAGAAAGTAAGTTTTGACTTGTTTCTTCTGGTATGTAACAGCCAGCATTTTTTCCCTATCACTGTTTCCCAAGTGTTATAATTGGAAATGTAACATTTAGCTTGATAAGGGTCTTTCTTATTTCAGTCAGAGACTCCTATTTCTGTTTAAGAGCATACTGCTAATGTATTTAATTGGGGAAATAGGAATAGTTTGCATTCTGCAAAGTACAGAATTGCTACAAATTATTCTGGATTTTAAGCCTGTTAAGAACTGTGCTTATATAGAGGCCATACTTGCAAAGCATATTTATGTTGTTGGAATGTACAGTCAAGAAGGTAATCTTGCAATACTCACTTGGTGGAAAGTCTTACTGAAATCAGTAGAAATATTTCTAAAATATTGATGTTTTTTACAATTGCCTATTACAAAAAAAAAAAAAAAACAACAAAAAAACAAAAAAACCAAAAAACCCAAACCAAAACAACCTTAAAAAAGCCCACATAAACAAAAGCATGAATAAAAACCTGGAACTTGTTGAAATTTAAAAGTATTTAGAATAAGTCTATACATGCCTGTAATTACATTGATTATACAGTGGAAAGCTAAGGATGCAGTAAAGAGAGGCAAAGCTATGACTTAATAGGAAGGTAAATTGTATTATTACTCTTTGCAGAGCATCATATTTCTTAGAATAATTAATGGAATCCCTTCTGGTTATCAAAATTTTTTTTGGAATACAGAGTTTTGAATGGGCTACAATATTTGATAATGATGCTCCCAGTTTTCTATATCACTTATGAAATCTTCCTAGGTCATCATTTATCAGATGATACCGGCTCTTTCAGTATTTATTTTAACTACAGTCTATTTATTTAAAATAACATATCATTTAGCACTTGAAAAGAAGAGTTTGTTCAGTACAGCAATTACTTTTAAACTTGAAGATAAATGAAATAAACACAATGCTAAGGTTCTATTATCATTGTCAAAATAATGCATTTTCCATATTTGTTGAGTAAAGATGGGAAGAGTTCACTTAGTTGGGCAAATAGCTTTGAGCTATACTGAAAGTTTCTATTGAACCAATTGAACTTTATTTACAACAGAAAAATTTGATAGCCAGCATAAAATAATATCAACTTTTAAAATTGAAAGAAAAAAAACGTCAAAATTTGAATGTATTTTGCAATTTTGGTTCCCTCTTTTTTACTGATTTCTATTTAGATGAAAAAATAGTTTGATTATTGTGTACCACCATTTTTTATTTCTCTTCCTCCTTTGACTTCACAATTCCATGTTTATGAGAATAAAAGCACTTCAAGAAGGATGTCTGCTAGTTTACTTTTAAATTTCCTGTGATTTGAAATAAATATTTGACAAATTTATCACTAAAAATAATCTAGATAAGAGTTTACAGATAGTAGGAAAGGAATGTTAAGTTTTATTGGCTATCTGAAGAACTCCAGAAGCCTCTATTTTTCAGAAAATGCAATTTTTCAGTATTTATGAGGTAGCACTGGTTTGGAATTACAATTAATAGAAATTTTTCACTTTTTTTTTTTTTTATTTAGACTTTTCTTTGAGGGAAATTTTGGAAAGAATTATTTTTCTGATGAACCAGAAGCTCAAAAGTTTTTTGTTCAGTTCACAAAGCAGGGAGGGAAGGTAGTTTCACATCATGCAGGACAGAATTTAACCAGAATCTGCCACAGAGGGGATTTTCTGCACCGCTGCCTGCAGGTTCAGTAAAATAAGCAGGTGAGGTTTCCTGCAGTGACAAGGAAGGGAGATGTAGGTGAAATAAGGAAAGTTTCAGGATCTGGTGGGTAGTAGATAATCAGTGGCACTGCTGTCTAAAGATAGAGGTGTTGACTATGACCAGGGAGCTACCATGTCTCTCCAATGCCATAGAAAATCCAAGAAAGGATTATTATTATTAATGGCAGTATTGGCTTGCTATGGAATCTAGACTTTCTAAATAAGCTCCTTTTGCTCACAGCCCAAATTCCATTGTGGATATGGTCCAGTTTTAAGTATTCAAGAAACAAGAAGCTTCACTAAGGTTTTTGAGGGGCCTACTGCCATGAGACTCTCCCTGCTGAATGTCTGTTGCTAGGGGCCAAGTTTGCAAGAGGAGATTGTCCTCTGCAGCTAGCTTAAAAGCAGAGGTAATATGTCCCCAAGGCAAGGTGGTTTAGGAAGAAAGGCATCAGCTAATTAAACTTAATTGGGTTAGCCAGGGTAGTCTGATTAGCATAATTAATTTAGGCCTCGGAGTGGGCTTGAGGGGTGTGTGTTTTTGTGAGGGATCCTTTGAGGGAAGTGTTTGGGACTCCAAAGTGGAAAGAGTAGTTAAATCTCTAGGTCAAGGGAGAGACGCTCTAGATGAGTGGGAAAGACAACGTACAGAAATGCAGAGGATTTAGCCTGCCTAAAGACTATGTACTCTTTTGAAACTGGCAGTGGTTAAGGAATAAACCAGAGGGGCTAGTTAGAGGATTTTAATCCACCTGGAAAGCATGGGGAAGGAGCCTAGCCAGCCTGTTCCACTTGTGCCTGACAATACTGTGATATAAGTAAAAATGTGGTGTCTAGGGAATAGTGGATAGGATTAAAACCAGGCTGTATAGCAAAGAAGTAGAATCCTTCAGTTAGGGGAAGTTAAAATTATTTCACCTTCACCTTAAAATTATTTCACCACTGATTTGGGATCTTTCTCTACTGCAGAAAATGAATTAAATACTGGTTTAAACTGTATTCAAGAGCTTTGTGTACTGTGGTCTTAGTCATGAAAAGAATCCCTAAGAAATAAAAACTTGCAAACATAAATTATTCTAATGAAATGACAGAGTAAAACAAAAATTATGATCACTTAATAATACTACTTCTTTTGCAAAGAAAGTGGATTTTAAAATACGTATATCCTATCTTTGATTGCAGCACTACTTTAATGGAGTAGATGGCGTAGTGCTTTATTCCTATACTGAGTTATATATTATGTCAGTTTCATTTGGTTTAAATTGTCTGTTCTCTGAACTGCCTTCACATTTCAGAGCTTAAGTTTTCTGACTATTTTTATTTTTATTTTTATTTTTATTTTTATTTTTATTTTTATTTTTATTTTTATTTTTATTTTTATTTTTATTTTTATTTTTGCTAAGCATTTAATTTTCAACTTCTCTGTGGGTGATGCAGTGGTCAAATGAGTCTTTGTCATGCTCTGTTTTAAACCAATGCACATCCTGGCTGCCAGGCAGACAATCTCTTACTTTTCAGCTCAGAAAATGAGGCACCTCTATTGTTAAACTTACCCTAGAGCTGGTTGGTATGAAGCATAGCTGGGAATTCCAGAGGGGAAAAGATTGTACTGCTGGCCAGCAGTACTTTGCCCAGGTACTCCTGTGAGCTCCTTTTATTACTTGCCGATCTACAATTTAAATCATCATAGCTTCAACTCCAAGATAAAAGTGACAAATGGGAATTTTACATGAAAAACCTTATAGTAATTCTGTATACATATTTGTGGCTATAGACTACTCTTAAAAGACCAATCTGAGAACTTTTCATTATTTATATGAAGGATTAGTAATAAATAACCAAGCATATTTGGCATGTAATTTTGTAAGGATTCTCCTGAGACCTTGAGAATTTTGACTAAATATGATGTAATGTTGTCTGCAATAAAGAAATGTAGTGATTAAATATTGGGAAAGAAATATGTGATTTGTCCAAATAAATTATGCAAATTGAAATATTGCTTTTTGTAACTAATGTTTGAATTGCTTTTTATTTAATTTCTTTCAGAAATTTTTAAGCTGATTTTTCATTCCATCCAAACCATCACATATTCCTTGAAAAGAAGCTTTGTATCCTAAATAAAGATATTGATATTTTAGTTGAGGATTTGGAGCAGAACCTCAGTATGTGTGAAGGTAATTATAAATTAAGATAGTTGTACTCTAAGATCATGATATGTGATAGCCTTTGGAAAACTTGGTTCCATTCTCACTTGAAATAGTATGAGAGCAATTTTACAGGGAAAGTTCTTTTTTAGTGCTAGCTGGACCTGGATGACAGAATAAAGCATGAAAATTAGAATCAAAGAAAGCTGATGTACCAGAACCAAGACAAATAAATAAATCCCCAAGTTTTCCTTTTCTAATCTTTAAAAGGTTTATGTTTAGGTCAATTCTTGCCCAGTTCTGCTTCAGAGCCATTCAGATGAGATTTTATTAAAGGAAGAAAGGAGAAATGCTTCTAAATTGCTTTCAGAAAGGTTAGCCACTCAGCATGAATAAACTAGAGTTTGCTACACCAGAGATATATATGACATGTTGAAAAATGTTTTAATGAAGTAGCAAAGGTCTGCTAGAGACTGAGTTAAAAAAGAAAAATATAGCAGTCTAGTACACTTTGAAAAGACAGAAGAATTCTTTTCTTCTTTCTCTTAGAGAAGAATTGAAACCATAGTATTTCATGTCTTTGTTTTAAACTGTGTGGAAACTCTGTATTGTTTAAAATACGTACTCCAAATTTCAGGTTTGGCACCTGCATTATTTGAGGTATAATTGCATTTACTCTATGTAATTAGAATATAAATTTGTGTTTCTGAGGCAGAATAGTGGTGTGGGGTTTTTTTCCTGGGAGGTAGTGTTATGTAGTCTGGTTTGTGTTCAGAAAATTTGCCATGACAGTGCTTCATAATAGAACCAATTATCAGGAATGCTGTTACACATCGCCTTCCAGACCCCAATTTAAACAGAAGCAAGTGACAATTCCTTCTGTGAAACTGTCACCATAAATCAGCCATATGTGAAGACCTACATGCTTATGGAGGATAAAACAAGAAATATGAGTTTAAAAAAAATAATTATTTGTTTTTAATGTGTTCTGATTAACTTTCAGACTAAGGGGAAGAAGCACATATCAACTGCCAAAACTTCTTTCCACGTATCTTTAGCAGGTATCAGAACGCTATATTTTTTCACATTTCATCTTAAAGAGGAAAAGATCCCACTTCCAATGCTTCAAAATAGATGTTTTCTACTTTGCAGCACAACAGGGGACACTGCAACTGATCCTGCTCTTTGATATTCTTGTCCTGCGTGCAATGACATACCTGATTGTTGGTCTTTTTAATGGACATTCTCAGTTAAAATGCACAAAACTGAAGAAATAGCCACTATTTTTGATATGTAATTAATATATATTTTTTTTTTCCCTGAGGCTTCACTTTGTTAAAATGATCCAAATAGCCCAGTTCATCCTCAGACACACTTGGGAACTTTTAGATGTAATGCTTAAAACAGCCTATTATTTATGTAATGTTTAGCAAATACAATGCGCTTTGTCATTGAACTGTCCATCTCTGAACACTGGCTTAGATGTCAAATTTAGGTTTTCCATACATTGATTGTAAGCATTTCCAAAGTATACAGTGACACACTGTGCATACACACATACAGAAACTTCAGACAATATTCTCTTTCCATTTGCCTGGGTTTTTTTTATTTTAGATGTGTTTCTTTAAAAGTGTGATTATGTAGGTGTCTTTATACTCTATTATAATTACATGCCACTTGAAGTTTTCCTTGAAAGGAAATCTAAGCAATAAGTAGTTAAGAATAGCAAACTTCTAGAAAAACACCTAGGAAACTTGGGTAACAAAAAGAAACTTGAATAATTTAAGACATTTTACTACATAATATTTCAAAATGTACTATATTAAAATATATAAAATTGTATTAAATTAAAAAAATATTTAAAGTAAAAACCTTAATGAATATTCTGCTATGTTTCTATTTTGCCTTGACTGGCTTGCCTGCTGGAACCAGATGGGAATGGCATGTTTGATAGTGCCTTTCCCACAATCTTTCTAGATTTTCTTAGCCAAATCTGTAATTAAAATAATAGCTCTCTAAAGAGAACATGAAATTTTAAATAAACTAGAGTTACTAATAGAAATTCCAAAACTGTTTGTTTTCTCTCACTGTTTTCTGTATGATCAGACATAGGTCAGAATTACCTTGGAAGTTCTGTGAAAGAATGGGGACATCTCAGCCTTCATCTCTCTGCTTTCATTTCAGGGAATTCAGTGAAAGGAGTAAATCTTGGCTTTCTGACTCCTAACCTGTTTTCATCCAGACATCCATACCCTGCTGCTGCAGAACTGGCAAGTATCACTCAGGATCACACAATGCTCACCTTAACATTCATTACCATGCTTGTAAGGTTTTCCTGCAATTTATTTGACAGCAAAGGAGCCATGAGATCAGCTGTAACTGAAAGTGTGAAAAGTAAGGAAAAGAAACTGTTTTAACACTTTATTTTCCACTATTATGAGCCAGTTTTGCAGCAAAGAACTTTGTTTTGCTAGTGAATTCCTTTTTTCCATTTATCCAATAAACTGAGATTATGAGACTGAATCTTAGGCAACAAAAATAACAAATTCTTTGGTTTCTCAGAAGAAAAAATAACTATAAAAATTCATTTTGGGTCTACCTTAAAGGCAGGGAAAAAAAAGAAGTGTTTATTGGTTCTTTTACTCTAAATCTACCTTTTGTGTAGATGGTGGGGGTGGTAAATTCAGTTCAAATGTTTGCTGCAGATATTATGATGGTAGAAACAGAGTTCATTTGTTTTCTTGGCACTGGTAAATTAAAGCTTTATTTTTTATGTGTTTTAAATCTGAAATGTGTAATAAATATTGACTAGGTCTAACTTTCCTAAATGTTAAGCATTGCATGCAGTTGTTTAAGGCAGAGAAATATGCCAAGAAACTCTGCTGCATTCTGCCTCAGGGAATGTGCTGGTGTGTGTAGTTTATGTCTCAGTTTGTGCAAATCCATAGTTTTCCATCTATACAAAACCAGTAATTTCACTTTTTTTTTCCTTTCAACTACTTGAAAGAGGGATTGCTGCTGTCTAAAACTGCTATGGTGAAGAAATATTTCAGTATTTTAAAATAACATTTGCAAGCCATAAAAGGGACAGCCTGAGATATAATTATCACATCTAATCTCTCAAGATTCCTGGAAGGTCAGATTCACACATTATTGATTTGATTGATTCTTTTTCTGAAGTTGACAGTTCTACTTTCAATAAGCTCACTCTTTTTGTGGTTTTGCATTGTCATTCTGAGAAATATTGAGAATGAAGACATTATTGTCCATTTCCTTGCTGAGGAGAGAATAAAAGAGAGAGAGTGAATAAAATTTGGAAGACATTTCAGTTTTCTAGAAATAAATTTTCTTTTCCATGTGGCTGTGTACTGCTTCCCACTTAACTTTCACTCTGTTGTACCTTGGATGTGCTTTCATTTTAGAAACGGCATAGGTATATAATAATTTTTAAAATATTTAAAAATATTTGAATAGTAAAGTGCTTATACAATAAAGGAATTGTCTAAAGCCCATTGAAACAAGAGGGAAACTTTTCAAAGTCTGCTATTTGGCCTTCTAGTCAGGTCCTGATTTTTTACCTTCTTCCTTTTTTAAAGAACAATACTCAATTCAGAAGCTAGTCTGGGGATAATAATATAATGATTTAAAAATGTCAGGAATTTCAGAGTCTAAAGGTATGAGTTCTGGCTTTGAAATCATCACAGATTCAAATGAATAGTGCCAGGCTTTCTTACTGTCTATGAAATAAATTAATAAAAAATGTGTTTCACTTTCTTGCCAACCCCTCATGACAATGACCATTCTCCCTCCCATACATCTGACTGTTTTGCATTTTTTATTTTTAAAATTAATCTTACTGATGAACCAAACATTGCATTTGAAGTTAGAAAACCATTAGAACACAATTGTATAATATTGTATCATAGTTTGGGAATGAGCAAAGCATTCAATATTAGTGAGGATTGTTCAAAGACTCTGATAGAGCAGAAGCTGATATGGTGATCCTTGTCGGGCATTGGAAAGAACGTGCTTTTCTTCTCCTCCAGCCCGAGGTTCACTCAGGTCACCATGGGCATGTTGTGAGCTGAATTCCTTCAATGCCTTGCCTTAGTGAGAGCATTTCTTTTCACAGGAGCTGCTGGGCTTTATCCAGCTGTGATACTAGTTCTCTGATCCACACCTGTTCCTGACACCTTTGTTGTTCTGCTTGGTCTCTGAATGGCCTCTTGACTATTCTTCATTTTTATTACTATTTGAACCATTGTTTCTCCTTTTATGCCTTCGAAATTCTGTGTTAGGGATAAAATCTGTTCTCAGTGTGGCATAAAGCCATTGCCCTTGCTGCCCTGAAGAGCAATGGATAACACCTAGGTATTTCACTTGTTAGCTGTTAACCCAGAGTCAAAAGGGAGTAGACAAAGGCACCTTAGCTGGACACTGAAAGGATGTTTGGCCAAAATGGCTTCTGTGCTTGCCCTGTGCTTGAGCTTCCATGCGCCTCCACTCCGGCCACCGTCAAACTCTATCACTGGGTCAGTTAGCCTTGCCATCAACCACCAAGCTGTTTCTGTGTGACATGAGCTACCTTTAAACTTTATCTTTGAACTGGGCCAAGAAGGAGGGAGGTTTGTAACATGAAGCTCCTTTCCCTCAGTACTCTCAGAATTTATTTAGTGGTGATTTCAGCCATAGAGTCTTCTGTGAAGGAATTTTCTGCTTTCTCTCACCCTGTTGCTGGCACTCCTCCAAAGTGTTTGATTAGGGGTTATGTCTGCAGTCAGCGCCTAGCAGAATGAAATACTACTTTTCAGGGTGTTTCTCAAGTCCTCTCTTTATCATTTTGTATTGTATACTATTCTTTCTTCGGGAATACTTAAAACTGGCAAGTAGTTTGCCTGCAGGTTTGCAGGATTTTATTCTGCTATATTATTTTCATTTCTCAGCCTTAATTATAATTCTAACAAGTCTGTATGTGAAGATAATCACATAGCAATCATATACATTTATAAGGAGGATAAAAACTGTTGATTGAACCTTTCTATTATATTTTTATTTGTGTTTTGGTTGTTAGGCAAGTGGGCATTTTATACATGGATGCTTTTGTTCAAAGCTTTTTTTGTCTGGTGAGTGAAAGAAGCTGGTAATATCTTGAAAACTCAGTTTTCTTTTCCCCATAGTTTTTCTGCCTACACAACAAAAGCTGCTGGGGCGTTGTGCTGAGGAGACCATGCCAACTTCTTTTGTATCAGCATGAACCCCTCTGATCAAATCAAAACTCCCAGTGTTATCAGACTTGTTTGAGCAGCCCCATATTGCATTTTCCAGGCAAGCTTCCTTCAAAAACTCATAAAAATAGAAATTCATAAGAAAAAGAACATTACATGAATGATGCTGAACTGGAAGGAATCGCTTGGCCAGCAGTCCAAACATTGGAATGGGTATTTTTATAATATCTTATATGAAACTCATCAATTTACATTGAGTGTGGCTCCAAAACTGCAACTACAGCAAAGACAAGGAAGGCAACACATTGCAGTAATGCATTTAAGAACTCACTGTCAGCTTCTCAGCTAGACTGCAGATCCTGTTGTGTGGATTGCCCATTTGGAGATATGGCTCTACTTAATAATTATATTTGATGGCAAATTTGAGAATAAATCTCTAAAAGATGTTTGGTTATAGGTGTGATTTTTTTTTCCCATGCCAGCAAGTGTACTCTATTTCAAACTGATACAGCAGATTATGGTCATTTATGTAGCATCATTCTTAGAAAAAGCCTATGTGATGTGGAATAATTCAGAGTGACAAATATCGAAATGCAGATAGTTTCTTAGAATATTATAGAGAAATGTGTGTTGAATTATACTGCTGCAAAAAAAAAGCATAATAATATATGCTGTTTGTAGGAGTGTCTTTCTCTAAACATAGATAACTCTCTAATTTTAACCCTTCAAAAATATAATAAACAATATCATTTTATTATTTTATTATAATGACACTTTTCTTTTGATCTAAAGACTAAACAGAAAAAAAAATAGTCAATAAATGTAGAAGAATAATGTTATGCACACAGGATATCTGAGACCAATAACAACATATTATGCTAGCGTTGGGGTGCAAAATTGATGAGTAATTTTGGGAAAAAAGGGACAAAAAGAAATGAAAGAATAATTTAAATATTTAAAATTTTATTTTGAAGTTATAAACGTAATAGATTTAACTTTCAAATAAAGTGACCAGCCTGAAAATTTGTTGTAAATAACCATATGAAGAGTTTTCTGATGGTAATGCCACAGTAAATATAGGCCAACAACCTAGTATATTTCCAAAAACCAGATCTGAAAATAATGATGATCATTTAAAGTAGGAGGGGATGCCTTTTTGAAACATGTTTTGACTGAGTCTAACAGCTGGACTTAGCAGAAGGGGAACCAGCTGAAGAAAGTACATGAACTAAGACCATCAGAGCTACTCTGCACATGGTGATCAGGAATAAATAAAAACACTCAAAAATTTAAATCTGTGGTTCTTTGAAGCATTCATGACACTAAGATGTGAATATCTGCCTGAGCAGCAATGAGCATCCTTATGTGGGTCCAGTCCTTTGGGTGGGAGATCTACTAAAGGAAATGGGAAATCCGAGGAAGTCTTACTTGTAAACAACCTGTATGGATGCTGGGGTTAGAAGGTGTGCACCCCTGACAAGATGAAATATAGACACACTTAGAGCTCATTTAGATACTGGAATCATCTATTGTGCTTTGAATGTATTCCCTTAATGCTAAATCATGAGCCAATTGAGAAATCATCTTTGAGTTAGAAGGTTAGATTTCAAATGAAGAGATGTCTTTTCATGTCCTGGAACCACTCTCTGGTGGCTTCAGGTAAGTTTTCAGGTAAATTTTCTTATTTTTCTTATTTTTGTTTTCTGTGTGTTAAATAGAAGCAATAATTACCTCCTGAACTGCAAAGCTGTTTAAAAGTTTCAAGACACACAGTTCTGGGTGAAGGAAAAAAAAACCCCTTGAATGAATAAAAATGTGTTCAGAAAGGGAATCATGATAAGATTTCAGAAAAAAATGAAAAGAGGTGAGGAGAAATTAATGTTTTTATGTAGTAATAAAACCCCTTATATTTGCCCCTGAAATATTTTTAGTGTGTGTCTTTCCGGAAATTCCAGGAAATTCTGGAGGCCTTAAAAGGTATCTATGTATATTTAAATTAGGAAGAAAAAAAAAGGGGAAATGATTAATTTTCAGAGTGAGAAGGATTTACATTTTCTATTTTTAGATCAATGTATCTCTTAAATCTAAATGGAAACATGATAGGAATCAGACTGGAACACTAGGGTTTCACCATACTGATGCATGTTTAATGCACATGTATGCTACCATGGAGAGCTCCTTGAGAAGCAAATTTTCCTTTCTGTCACACCTTCTTTCTGTTAGTTTTTGTGTCCCATCTTTTATCACCAGAAGAGACAGCCAAATAAAATGTGTACTGCCAAAGAGGTTGTACTGAGTGATTTATACATGAGAATCTCATGAGCAGGAGGAAGCTGGGCTCGATTTCACAGCTTTCTAGATATCTTTTCTGAGCTTCTGAGTATTTCCAATTTCTATAGAAGTTGAAGGGAGCAGAGCATGTTGTCAGCATGAGATAATTGAGACACAGATTTGTGAGACAGTCAGGAAAAAAGCAGCTCATGCTGTAAAGTTCTTAAGTGTTTTAATGAAGACAGATATTTAAAAGTATTGATTAATGAGAAACTAATAATTGCTCTAAGGAAAAGCATTAAATATTTAGCACCACCAAGAGATGAGCTCAGATCATACTCAATATATTTAGTGTAAACAAAACAATCACATTTTAAAAGTAAATATAAACATTCTCTCAGGCAAAGCTGTAAAAGTAACTGAATGAATGCAACATGAGAAATAGATAATTAATTTTTTGAATCATATTTTGTGACATTTCAGACCCATATTCCTTTTGAAGGAGCATAAATATTCCTGTAAGAAACTACAGCATTGCAGTTACAAAATTTGGCATCTTATACCTTTTGAATTTTTTTCCTGATAGAGCTTCAAAAAATATAGGAAGAGAAATCACTGAAATGCTTTTCTTTAAATAACTCTGATATTTCCTAGAACTCAATATAAAATACTTTTCTTCAGCTGGAAATTCAGATAATTAAAGGTATGCTTTGGTTCTTACACTAATAAAAAAATAATTTTGCCATGGAAAATTCCAGAATACCTAAATGTAGAAATATCAAAGTTTAGAGAACAACAAAATTTTTCTTTTTGTGGAAATAAAAGATAAATTACAAAAGCCTTTTTTTTCTGTTCTTGAACAAAGCTTTGCTATCAATCCTTTTCCAGCTTTTTGTGGTTTTGTTTGTTTGTTTTTGATATGGGTTTAGTAAAGTGTAGAAACAGGAGCTGTGCTCCCATTTAAATGATCAAACTTTCAGCAAAAAGATAAAACTTTTGATTTTACAGCAAAACTTTTGCTTTTCTTGGACATTCTACAAATAGAGAAGGAAACCTAGTCCATTCATTATGACATGAGATTGTGATAGATATATCAATGAAATCTACTGAAAAAATACATGTTTATGTACATAGTGTTGCGGACTCTATCATGAAAATGAAGAAGATCCACTATGGAGTTCCAAGTCATGGATACATTTAATCAACAAATCATAAACTTTGTTTCAAAAGTACATATATGGGTTTATAAAATGTACTCAAATATACAATATAAACATTAAGCTTAAAAAGAATGAAGCACTACAAATACATTGTCAAATCCAGTGCAGAATTTAAATCTGATATTCAACATGATTAATTATTATGAATATTTTAAAAGGAAAATAATAATGAAAATATTTATAAAAAAGTTACTTAAAGATAACTTTGTCAGTCTCAAGATGGTATCTGTAAGTAAATACACACATCAGCACTCTGCAAAAGCTGAGAAGAGGAGAAATAAAAATAAACCAAAATTATGTTCACTGTGAGTGAAAAGTAGGAACCAGATTGTGAGCTAACACTAGAGACCTATATAAAAAGGCTTAAATGTCCTGAATTTATCTCCAGCTATCATAAATTAGACTATGCCAGAGCTGTACCAAGAGGAAGAAAAATACATTTCTTACACCCTGCCTTTCATTCTGAGGATTCTGCAGTCTGAGTACCAGATAAGCAATGTAAGTCTATTAAACCTGAATGCTCAGTCCTCTAGTTGTGCTCAGTATTTTTTTTTAATATCTGAATTATAAATAGAGTGATTTGCTGTCCTTGATGGAAGAAATGTGTAATAAAGTGTTGAAGTGAGCAAGAAGAAGTTTGCATGAGCAGCAGGAGAAAAGCTGCTGAGATGACAAGTAGCTCTTCCATACACATTTGCATTAGGCACAGTACTACTTTGCCCACTGGTATATGGTATTAAAACAAGAAGCTGTAGAAGGGAGTGTTGGGCATAAATCCAAACAAACTGACATATCTGTATTACCCATATTGTCTGATAAAGAGTGGAAAAAGAAGATATGGCCATAAATCACCTCTGAGTCAGAACAAAATATATAATTTAATGTGTGTGTGAACTAAAAATAGTGTACACTGACACCATGACATGCTGCAGTGCATGAAATGAACAAATGTAGACTCCAGCCTTGTGGATAAAAAACTAATCATATGGAGAGAAAATAAAATAAATAAGATCTATAACTAATTGCAAAACAAGGAATGATATTTCTAGTTTAGTTATCTGAATGCACAGGAATGCAAAACTGCTTATTGACAGGTGTGGAGCAATATATTTCTTGTTGTGCTTCAATTCATTACAGAGGCCTTTTGACTACTTAATCTCTAAATATTTTTCTGCATCTCTTGAAGTCTCTGTACTAGCCATTATGCATTTTGCATAAATTAAGAAGGCATGAGCATTCCCTGGCTGTAATGAATGTTATTGGACAAAGCAGATGGCCCAGTAAAGGGCCTGTGTGATGAGATCCTCCTAAAGAGATAATTATTACAGAGTTTTAAAGCTATCTTAATATTGTGATTAAATTTGTGAATGGGCTACTTTTCTAACAAATTTTAATGAAAATAATTGTATAGTAGTATCTCTTTAAACTTTTTTCCAGAATGTGTAAGGAAAGCTCCATATGAAACAAAAAGTTGTTTGTCATAATATTTGAAATGGGTAGGATCACTTGCTGGGTAATGGGTAAAACCAGTAATGTTTTCCTTCTTGGCTGAGAATTAGTTGACTGAAGATGAACTTATAATTGTTGCATGCATGGATGCTATAGAAAAGACTTCCTTATTCCTATTACACTATTTCCCCCTCCTTTTTTAAAAATTGCTGTTAAAAACTAGAGAGAAAAATCCTGAGAAAATAAGACGGAGTTTGGCAAACAAGCCTGGTATTCAAGATCAGTCTATCTTCTCGTGGAAAGTATTTTGTAAGTCTTGATGGTTAGGAACTGCCTTCTCATCCCAAACTCATACACAGCACCCCTGCTAACATGCAAAATTCATCTACATTTGATGTATTTGAACTGAAAGACAGTAGCAACCCTTTTGTGGTGACTGTTCCTTGTACTAGCTATGCAATTTGACTTTGCTGGGGTAGGGAACAGAAGAAAAAAACACTCACACCTTGAGCCATGATCTCAGCTGGAAAGCAGGCACCAACAGCTGCGAAACTACTGTGAGATGTCCCTCTTGTCAGAGCAATGCCTGACTGAAAGAAAGCTT